ACATGATTCGTTTCGTACCTGATACACGCCTTTATAGTTCTCCTGTTACGCAGAACGTTTGACGTATTCAAAGCACGCAACTCCTCATGTTGGATTCCGTAGATATCTCAGGTCTTAGGATCCAATCATGGAATCGTCGTATGAGATTCAAGTCATGACGCTAGTCCATGTGACAATCTCATGCGGGTCAATCCAGTATTCCGTTCTCCAACGAATACCTATGACTGTGATCGTATCCAATACCTATGATCATCTCTATGATCATCAATCACACATCATACTAGTCTTATTATGTCGTTATTCCCATAACGACACAAGACTAGGGAGTTTAGTATCATTCATAATGATACATGGATTTCATAACAGATCTAGTATGCAAGAACATGTAATGAATCAAATACTCTCATAAAAACCATAGAAAGTATCAATACATTGAATGTATCTAAAGAAAGCTCATAAACAGTACATCATAGAGCACTGAACCAACAGTTGGCGCAGTTCTTGGACAGCGAAAGGATAAGAAACTCTATGCCATTTATTACGCAAGCCGAACTCTGGATGATGCTCAGACGAACTACACCACGACAGAGAAAGAAATGCTTGCCATTGTCTTCGCGTTCGAGAAATTCCGATCATATCTCATCGGCTCCAAAGTGATCGTTTACACAGACCACGCTGCACTCAGGTATCTCCTGTCTAAGAAAGATGCTAAACCACGTCTTATCCGTTGGACACTACTTTTACAAGTGTTTGACTTAGAGATCCGAGATCGAAAGAGAACAGAAAACAGTGTTGCTGATCACCTATCGAGACTACAGATTCCCGAATCAATCCCGATCGACGATTCACTTCGGGACGAGCAGATCATGGCCATATCCATCCAGTCCGAAGCACCTTGGTACGCCGACTTTTTCAATTACCTGGTTAGTGGTCTCCTTCCTCCTGAGTTAAATTACAACGGGAGAAAGAAATTTCTCCATGACGTTCGTGATTTTTTCTGGGACGAGCCTTTCTTATTCAAGCGCGGCAAAGACGGACTGTTCAGACGTTGTATACCCGAGGACGAAGTTCAGCGAGTGATTTTTCATTGTCACTCTTCAGACTATGCCGGTCATTTCGCTAGTTCGAAGACGGCCTCCAAGATCCTCCAAGCAGGTTTCTATTGGCCCTCTCTATTTAACGATGTTCATCGGTTCGTTTCTTCTTGTGATGCATGCCAGCGCACCGGTAACATTTTCCGACGTCATCAGATGCCTCAGCAGTTCATCCTGGAAGTCGAACCTTTTGATGTCTGGGGGATCGATTTTAAGGGCCCGTTCCCTTCCTCTTGTGGGAACCTCTACATATTGGTTGCCGTCGATTATGTGAGCAAATGGGTCGAAGCGATTGCCAGCCCAACAAACGACTCTAAAGTTGTTTCACGAATGCTTCAGAGAATCATTTTCCCTCGTTTTGGCGTACCGCGTGTTCTAATCAGCGATGGAGGAACCCACTTTGTGAACCGAATCATTGACACTTTACTGAAGAAGTATGGGGTTCAACATCGCGTTACCACACCCTATCATCCGCAGACCAGTGGACAAGTTGAAATCTCTAACCGGGAGATCAAATCCATTTTGGAAAAAACTGGTTCCCGCTCCCGCAATAACTGGTCCCAAAAACTCGATGACGCGCTCTGGGCATATAGAACTGCTTTCAAAACCCCGATCGGCATGACCCCGTTTCAGCTGGTATACGTAAAGCTTGTCATCTGCCAGTCGAATTGGAACATAAGGCGTTATGGGCTATCAAGGCACTGAACTATGACCTCAAGTCCGCATCAGAAAAGCGTGTCCTACAACTCTACCACCTCGAAGAAATTCGTCTCGACGCGTACGAAAATGCAAAAATCTACAAGGAACGTACCAAGCGTTGGCACGACCGCCACATCCTTCATCACTCCTTCCAGGTAAACGATCGCGTCCTTGTCTTTAACTCTCGTCTGCGCCTATTTCCAGGTAAACTGAAGTCTAGGTGGTCCGGCCCATTCACGATCAAACATGTCACCGATCATGGTGCAATCGAACTCTGGAATTCTGACGGTAAGCCATTCAAAGTCAACGCCCAACGAGTGAAACTATACAACCCTGAGGATCCAGTTCCTGAGAGAGGTACTCTTCCTCTCTCAATCCCTCACACTGCTTAATTCCACCATGGTCGCAACTCCTGACCCTAAACGAGCACGTTCGGACTTCCAAACCCGTATCCTTTTCCTCTGATATCTGTGTATATCTTTATATATATATTTTTATTCTATTTTTTCTTTCGTTTGTTTGGTATCCGTTTTCCTTGCGCTCTAACCCTCCCTACAGGCCCATATCTCATCGGAAACACCGCTAGATTCGATCGTGTTGCAACTTTCCACACGATCGTGTCATACTCCATTATGTTTTTCTTCCACAAACAGACACACGATCGTGTCCCTACCTCATGACACGATCGTGTCCTACCTCCCTCGGATGTATCGGACTTAAGACCCGATCGTGTGTCATCACATCACACGATCGTGTGTCTCCTGGTACGTTGTGGGGGCCCGATGATTTAACCCTAAATTTTTCCATTCTCCCCTCATTTCTTTCATTCACCCTCTATCTCCTCTCCACCAGTTCCCCCAATCGCCGCCTCCTTTCCTCTGTCACCGCCGCCGTCGTGGTCACCACATTCTCTCTTCCCCTCCTCTTCTTCCTCCATCTCGCACTCGATTCAGCTGAGACCGGTAAGCCTCTACACCCTCTCTTCCTCCATCTAGTGGTTGAATCTGGTCCCCCTGCTCGATTTGGTCGTATTGAGTAGTCCTGCTCATCTTCCCCATGCGATTTCTTATGATTGAGCATTATTTCGAGTGGATTTCGATGCCCTGTTCTAGTTCCGTTCTGGTCTCCTCAGGCGCGACACGATCGTGTGTCTCTTTCAGACCCGATCGTGTCAAAATCCAATTGCGAGAACTATTACTCGGCCGAGACCCGATCGTGTCTATACCTCTCCACACGATCGTGTTGCTCATTTCTAACTCCTTACACCTTTGTTGCAGAGATGTCGTCCCGTCCGAAGAGAACACGCCCAGATCAACTCATCTTCGACCCCGAAATAGAAAGGACCCTACGCTTCGCCCGTAGACAGCAAAGACAGTGGGGAATGGCCAAAGAAATGCTAAGAGAAAACAACGCACGGAGAGAACAACCCGAGATGGCCGAAGAGTTGTTGAGAGGGGCCAATGGCCAAAGAGGTCCAGCCCAAGCAGCCCCTAGAACGCTTCGAACGTACACACAACCGAAGCACACTTTTGTATGGATACCTATGTTTAATCTATGATGTCTTTGAGTTTCTTCCATGGGTTTGATGTTTTGTGCTTAATGCTATTGATTTGGTTGAAACCCTAATTGATATGATTGTAGAACACATTGATCATAGGGATATGGGAATGATGTTTGGAACCAAATGTCAAATGAGTGAGTTATTCACATTGGGAGATGGCTTAACTTGCTTAGGGTTCATGATAGGGTACACTAATGCATCTAGAGATCATTTAGATCATTGGGAGATGGGTGAATCGATCCTCTAGGTAGTGAGTTTAAGCTTGGGAGAGACAAACTCTAGAAGAAGTGCTTGAAACCCCCATATGGAGGATAACCCATAGACATTGTAGCATCATTAACCATCCATGCGATTCTTGAGGGATCCCGAACCTACAACGCCTCAAACCATCGTTTTACAAACCGTTAATTTTACTTGCTTTCTTGTATTCCGACCCTTACCACAAACCACATTTTTACTTGACCACCTAATCTAGCTTAGAGATAGACTAATACATCCTAGTCCTCGTGTTCGACCCCGGTACTACAACTACCGTATACTTGCGGATAGTGGTACGAATCGGGTATTAAATATAAGACTCGGTGCGTGCGCATCACCCGGCTGCACTACCCTCGACCGGATCGTACTCATGAACAAGAGCATGCTGATGATTGACGACTACGGTGATGTCTTCTGGTCCAACAGGTACGATAAAACACTCTATATCACTCACCTCGACAAAATTCCACCCCTAACCCTGGAGGGCCTCCGTACCGTCGTCCCCGCCACCGATCAACCCTCCCGCCGAGCTCCACCTCGTGATACCCCCAGCTCCTCCCGACAGCGCCCCTATCAGAGTCCCACTCTCGACGACGATGCTGAAATACGGACTCTGGAGCAACTCTGCGAGGACGGTTATTTCGAGTTGCTGGAACAACGTCACCGATCCCTCGCACGCGCACAATACGACATCACCACCGCTCAAACCACCCTTGGCACCCAGCTACACTCCCTCACCGACCGTCAGAACCAGATTGGGGAGCAAGTAGCATCTTTGACAGCATACATGGACCAGCGCCGCCATATGGACAATTATCAGATGCAGGTCCTCCAACGTCTCCAGGACCTCCACTTCACCCCTGCCGGCCGCCAGCACGTCGCACTGCCACCTGGCTATCCTTATCCAGGCATGCACTATTCTGCTCAGCCACCTCCACCAGAGGACATGGACACCACCGGCGACCCTCGAGAGTGACTTTTCCGCCCTTTTTTATTCTCGCGTTCCTACTTTGTTCCTTTTATGTCATATTTTGAACCCTTTTCGGTATGTACTTGGATGTTTCTATACTGCTGCAGTTATTCTATCGTATGTTGGAATGTGGTGACCTTTCCTTGTTTCCAATTTGTTTTGGTTTTCTCTCTTGTCAATTTTGAAGTTTCACTGCGGAGAGTTCGTTGAATGAAAACCATCGCACACTCATTGCCCTTCCAACCTGAGCGTCGCAAGAATCGCCTCCCATTCTTCTATACCTTACGCAGCTAAGTATCCGAATTTTCTCACTCCTTCATCCCCTCCTGCTATAATTGCACACCGTGGACGGTGTTTTGTTCAAGTCTGGGGGGTATCTCTACTACACATCCATGTACACACTGCATTGTTAGTTTCACTCATAGGGAACTCCCGTATAGACCACTTTGAGTTGATAGCTAAGATATGAGGATAGATAGGACCCGATAAAATCAATCAGTTTTGACCACCTATGCGAACTACTCTCGACTTATTCTTGAGTGAGGGATGAATTGTCAGTTTATATTCGAAATGGCAGTTCTCGTTCAAAATAGACTTGAAAGCATGTGGGATGTGTTTGTAGCTAGAACATTCTAGAGATAGATATCTCCTGAAACAGGCGCATAAGTTTCGCAAGAAACCACTTCCAAGGTTCTTATGGTTGTTCGACTGACGTTACAAATACTGTGCACGACCACATCCCGACACTCCTCTGTCACTATCTCGTTAATGAAAATCATTCGAGGATATGTGTGCACTTTGACTCGGGTCTAAGTTGTGGGTCAAGTATCCATGAAAAAAAAAGAGAAAAAAAAAAGAGATACTCGACGACTTCAACGTCCTAGAAGTCCGGGATACAAGTCCGCAGCTAAGCCATACAAACGCCCTTTGGAATCATAGGCGGTATGCAAAAAAAAAAGGAACGAGAACAGAAGTCAAACACCTATGGGTAACCTAGTGATTGGACTCTAGAAACATGCTTGATAGGCAGATAGAGATCTCTTGGATTTCAGGCGAGAACCTCAGATTCCATTGTCACTAGAGTCGAAATGAATCGAGAGAGGCCAGAATAGGATAGAATCGATTTCATCTGAGTTAGCATAGTGGAAAATTCTTGATTCACCCCCACGCGTTCATTCTGATCCTAGCTGTCACTCACTTTCTCATATCAACTCGATGTTACTTTACTCGAGAACGAGCAAAACGCTAAGTCTGGGGGGATTTGATAACACACAATATATACAACGTAAACATGCATTCATCTGACGTATTTATCCAGTTTTACATCATTAGGAATGTTCAATTGCGTGTTTAGTCTTGATTCTCGCTTAGTTAATATATAATTGCAGGTACAAGCAATAGAAGCGAAATAAAGGACAAAAACCCTGGAAAAGAACGAGCTATGACGCTACACACGATCGTGTTATTTGTACTCACACGATCGTGTCTCATCATCCAGAAAACCACCATCAGATCAAGAGTTCACCCGATCGTGTCACATCCCGACACATGATCGGGTCATTTCGCCAGGACAAGAATCACATCGAAGGTTCACCTGATCGTGTCTCCTGCACACACACGATCGGGTCAAGTCGCGAAAACCTGACTCTGGAATTACAATCTCACACGATCGTGTCTCCCCCAACTCACACGATCGTGTCACTTACGGGATTCTTCGGGAATATTTCCAAATCTGACCAGGAAAAAAAGACTTAACTAGGTCAAGCCTCCAGAGAGGGATTCATTCAGACTTTTCACATAAAACAGACCTAGAGCACACCAAAAGGGGGAGATTACCAAGAAGCAAGAGATTGGAGTAGAAGACGGAGATCAGGAAGCCGAGAAATCGACTAAGAGTTTCTTCCTTATCCTATTTTACAATGTCTTGTTGTATTGATATGAACCCTGTCAACTCGATGTTTAGCGAGTAGTTCCTTTGCTGTAGGTTAGGGATTTGCTATGTAGGGATCTTTGGTTTTTAATTCCAGACTTTGTGGATTTATTATTCTATTCAGTTTATTGAGTTGATCTTAATGCGTTTGATCTTGTTGTCGCTTGATTGAATGATCTTAGGGTTTTAATTCACATAGACGTATGTGATTTTAACCTGGAACTAATTCAATAAATAGAACAGGTATCACATCGGAAGATGGGTATTTGCCTAGGAATTATGATAGC